ATTTGGAGGTTTAGCATTGCGTCATGGTAAATGTTATTCCTACTAAGTGGAAGTAGTTGTGTTTTTTTTATATTACACCCAATTGGCTTGATTTAAAAGTTATTCAATTCTTTTTAAAATTGCCCATTTGGTTGAGATTTTTCCACTAAGATTAAAATTATCTAAAATGGGCGTATAATTCTCAATCATAGCACAAATTTTTATAAACCGATAAACCTTTGGAAATATTAAATAACTGATTGCAAACGCTTTTCTTCCTGTTTTGCACGAATTTTAGAATGACCATAGAGTGCGCTGGCTACAGATAGACAACAGTTCACCAAACAGTGAAGAACAACTGTAGCAAACTCACAGCAGTTGTGAAAATAATAACTTTCTTCGGAAATAAAACGTTTTTTCATGTGCCAATGACGATCGAGTTTTACACCGTTAGCGTTCTCACAGTTCACTTTTTAATATGCTAGTAAAAAAACAGTTTTCTAAGGTTGTTGTCAACTGTACTTTGAATCTTCTTCCACTCTCAAAGGTTTTCATAGCTGCCACTTCAATGAAATCTCTAAAATTTAAAAGCTTGGCAAAATCGATCAATGTTGTATGATAGTAAAATGTTGCATGATACTAAAATAAGATCTTTTCAAAAATATCTCTCAGAACTTTCTTCCCCCAGTAGAAAAGAACTGTGATCAACTCAATCTTGAAATCAAAACAAAAATATCCCATTTAATCAATTATGATTTGTACGATCTTTAAATAATAATAGTTAAAATAAGAAAGGAAAGTGTATTTAAGTAAACTGGTATTCAGCACCACGTTTTATATAAATATATATCAGGTTGTGGAATCTTTTTTGTTTTGTATTCTTAGTTTTTTAAGTGAAACCTAATAAAGAGAAATTGCTATCTTCTTCATCACAATATAGACATTACTTTTTAAATGTTTAAGTGTCATGCAAGTCTGGTCAACTGAAAAGACTCTTTCTTACTGTCACAACATGTCGACATACGAAAAAGTTGAGAAGCTTAAAGAAAATCTCTCATAATCTCCTAACTTCATCAATTTCATAAATTTTGCGTTCAGAAAAATATTGTTAATTATAAAAATAAAATAAAAAATTTGTGGAAAACATCAAAAGTGGCCTCTAATGGCTTTCTTTGACTTTTTATACAAAAAAAAATCCAAAATGTGTATAACATTGAGAATCAGTTATAAAAAATAAAGGAAAATAAATAATTGATGGGTTTAGCGATGAATAGATAAGCTACACTACTTTCTAAGATAACACATTTACATCGAACCGTCTCTTAATATTGTTTCCAGATAAATAAGTAAAAAATCCGGAACTTCCACCAAGTAACACCACAATAGACACAAAAATCATATTACTAGCATCAAAAAACAGTGTCGTGAACAATTTGAAAATTTGGTTTATTAATAAATCCTTTGGGTCCTTTATAATTAAGGATCCAATACTTTGTACCCTTTACACTTGAGGCTCTTTCTAACATTAAAAAAAGAACGCAACCGTTAAGAGTTTACAAGACAAAACCCACTGTTTACACAATTACCATGTAATGCATAGTGACTATTTAAGTGGTTACCAAACTTTATTGAAAATAAGGCAGATTTTCGCTTTAAGTTACAAATCGGGCACGAACTTTTATAAAAACCTAATACATAACAGAAGATATTTACTCGCACAGTACAACACGTGATTATTTAATCAAAAACTCAAATAAGGGATTTTTACTTTTCAAATTATCTTCACGTTGTTCAGTTCACTAATTGAAATTAACAGTTACGTTGTGGAGGATTTCACTCATTAGCGGTTTCCTCTGCCTGCTTAACCGTGGAAGCTTTCTCCTGTTTTTTGTCCGACATCTTTTTCATTCTTTTATGATGCTTGCTAGTCAAATGCTTCTCATAATTCAGAGAACTGTAGCTTAAAAAGTCACACAACTCACAGTAGTGCTTCTCGGGATTGGAAACAATTTCAACTTCACAATCATCAGAACTATCGGTGTCGTCAGTTCCGAAACCATCCAGCGAGGAGTCACTTTTAGTTTCACTCGCTTCGACACCAGATGGCGTGAGGATTGTGCTGACAGTTCCATCGGTTTTGCTAACATTTTCGTCTTTTCCATGATTGTTCGATGACGAGGGAGACATTTTTTTAGACGCTTCCTCGCCGTCTCTAACTTTATGTTCAACTTTTCTAGCCGAACGTTTTTTAACTTCTTCAAACTCCATGCGCCGTTTACACCTACAATCCGGGTTCTTTTTCTCTGTGACGCTGCGTAGCCTAACACCTCCCATTCTTTCTCTCTTGATAAGTGACTCAACTTCTTTATGTCTGTAACATAGTTTATGTTCAGCATACTTAAAACTCGTCACCAACCAAAGAGAGCACATTTGGCAATAATACAATGCTTCAAGTGAATTGCTGAAAGTTTTCGAGACACTCCAACAGGATCCAGCATTAACGATATCAACTTTTTTAACGATGTGGAAGAGTTTGTTCAGAAACTGCTCCGTCCTTCTATGGGACTGATTTTCCAAATGTTGCGTGTAATAAACGGGTTCGCTGAAGTGAATGTTACATAATTCGCAGATGAACGGTAACATTCCGTGAGCGACTTTATAGACATGCTCACCGAAAGCACGGTCATGCCCTTTCTGTTTGACGTTAATAATTTTGCTCATGAACATTTGTGTGTCGTACTTTGCTTCCTTAACTGAACAAAGTAATTCTTTCCTTCTAATAACGGTTTTAATTACAAATGCTAAATATTTATGACTGTCGCTCTGGATGTGTTCCTCTATGGGTAGAAAGCCCCTATAGCTGCACAAATAACAGCAAGAATGCGGTGGGAATGAAGGACTAATAGTGCTGGGATTTTTATCTTCAGCATCAAAAGGAATACCCGTGGCTAGTGTCAGGACGGAATGTACATCAGTCCCAATGTGTTCAACGACATCAGTGACACTAGAAAATGCTTGTGCGCACGGCAAGCAAAAGAAATGAGAGTATCGATGCATGCCACTGATCCCATGACGTATTAGATCCTTCAATTTCGTAAACTTTTCATTGCAGATTTCACAATTCATTTTCTTCACGACAGATTTCTGAAATTGAAAAAAAGGGTTGTAATTATAGATTTACTGCGAATACTACAATTTTAAAAAATAAAAATTATGTTTAATAGCCAAAAAGTAGTTTAATTCTAGTCATACGTAAAACGAAAAACGTAGAATACATCACTTTCGGAAAACGTGGGATGGGGATTTCCGGTGGCAATAGAAGTTTATTACGTAAGTGATGCTTTCTACGTTTTTCGTTTTACGAATGAAAAATTTTAAACTATTTTCTGCTTTTTGCCTACTGAAAAACCTATTTTTTGTTAAAAATGCGCCCGATGTGCAATTTATTATAATTACTTTTCTTAATAAATATGGAAGTATTAAAAATATTTATAATAATTTAAATATTATTAAATGTTACACATTGTTTATAGAAATTTTTCATTTTTTTTTAAAACCAGCTATGTAATGTTTACTATAATATTATTAGAATGCAACTTTTAAGGCAATGACTTTGGTCTTCTTTCTTTGTTATCCTGCGCACATCTTTACTGCATCTTTCTATTTGTACCTTTTTGCCTTGCCATTGGAAATTAAAAAAAAAGAATGCTTCAAACGATAACATTATTGATATAAATATTCTTTTTAACTACTAAACTCAGCGGCGCGAGAGCCCATAAAGTGCAAAAGCCTACTATGCCCATCTCAGTTTTCTTGACCTTGTGCTCTGGGGTGCAGGAGCAGATGTTCCGGTCAGGTGGTCAGCTGAAAGCGGAACTCCCAGTGCTCAGCTCCCAAGCATGCTTGGTACTCATTTATCGACCCACTGAAGGGATGAAAGGCTGAGTCAACCTTGTCCGGCCAGAGGATCGAACCTAGGACTTGTGGCACAGGAGAGCGAAGCGCTACCACTCAGCCACCGGGCGTCTAAATAGTCTTTTAGTCGTTTAAAATCTTTTAGTCTTTTAGTCGTTTTCAGTTTTTGGAAAAGTGGCCACGTGTTATAAAAGGTGCCACTGTTAAAAAATGTTACAATTGACCACTGGCCAGTTACAAAATTTCCTAATTTTGCTATTTTCCACCAAAATACTTTTGATCGTGTACAAATGGTTTAAACAGGGTGCGTAGCCAAATCCTTTAACAAAAAACAAGCACTTTTTAAGCACTCAAAAAATATTTATAAGCACTACATACATTAACAAAATTCAGAATAATTTTCAAAGACTTTACAGGATCGTGACAAAATAGCTAGTTTCTTACAAAGAACGCTTTTCTTGTTTATATTGCAATGATCGAGAAATTTTTCGGTTCGATATCAAAAGGTGGAAAACGAAAACTGAAATTAAGAATATCTTGCAAAATGCAGCAGAGTTGCACATGAGAAGCAATAATCTCAGTATATGCACATGCGGACTCGCAAGTATTTCATTAATCATGTAAAATGATTGGCGTTTTTATACGCTATGAACCAACGGTACACCAAAATAGATTGTGGTTGAATAAATTGAGAATAACGTTGAATAGAATAAAGTAAAAACCACGCTTTTGCATAATACGAGGAGAAAATCGACAAGGATAAAGAAGAAAAAATCTCATTTTCGAAAAGGGAAAATTAAGCACTTTTTAAAAACGCCCCATTGAAAACTCACCTTTAAGGGCTTTTAAAAACGAAAATCAAAAATAAGCACCTTTCAATGCTATTTAAAAAGCCTACAGACCACGTACTAACTACATTTGTTTATTAAATATTAATAAAGGTATTAATTGATATACATAAAAATTAGGTGAAAATTATGACTAGTTAGTGTATAAGTATTGAACTGAGTTTCATAATGTTTTGTAAATACAAAATTATAATATTTCGTATACACAAAAATTAGGTGAATGACGAATAGCCAGNAAAAAGTCATGAAGTGAAATGTGCAAAAACGATAAGCGCATTTTCGCTGCGAATTCATAAACGGTCATTTGACCGGTTATGGTTATGTTATCTGGAATTCCGGAAAGATAAGGATTTCTAAAAATAGAATTCGTGTGCCAGTTTTTCTAATTTGGATTTTTAAAAGAATGAAAATTTATGAGCATTACAGATAATTATTATAGGGACTGAAAAATAACGCTAAAAAAAATATTAAATTTTAAAACTATAAACAAACTTTTTCTGTAGTACTTGTTTGCTCATCACTTAGGATAATATTAATATCAGCGAAAAAGTTGCACGGTTTAGTCAAGATTGTCTTAGTTTCAAGTGTTATTAAAAGACAATCCAATTCATTTTTCACAAAAAAAGATACAACTTATTTCTTTAATATATTGATTTTTTATAAATATAACGTAGATTAAATAAAATATGAAACTTGTGAAATGTTGTATATGGATAGTCTATATAATAATTTTGACAAAATAGCATAAAATCAAACTAATAACCTCTATATGAATTTTTATTATTTTGCTACGTTTGATTTAGTTACTTTGTGTTAGTAAGTGCATTTAAAAATTTATATATATACATACAGGGTGCATAGCCAAATCTTTCAACAAAAAATAAGCACCTTTTAAGCACTCAAAGACTTTACATGATTATGATAAAATAACTAATTTCTGACAAAGAACACTTTTCTTGATTATATTAGCCATTATAAAATGATCGAGAGATTTTTCGGTTCGATATCAGAAGGTGGGAAACGAAAACTGAAATTAAGAATATGTTGCAAAATGCAGCAGAGTTGCACATGAGAAGCAATAATCTCACCGAACTCAGCTCAGTATATGCACATGCGGACGTATTTCATTAATGATGTAAAATGATTGGCGTTTTCATACGCTATGAACCAACGGTACACCAAAATAGATTGTGGTTGAAAAAATTGTGGATAGCGTTGAATAGAATAATGTAAAATCCACGCTATTGCAGAATACGAGGCGAAAATCGACAAGGTTAAAGAAAAAAAATCTCATTTTCGAAAAGGAAAAATTGAGCACTTTTTAAAAACGCCCCATTGAAAACTCACCTTTAAGGGCTTTTAAAAACGAAAAATCAAAAATAAGCACCTTTAAGCACTTTTTAAAAACGCTACGCACCATGTTTGAATGGTAAACCTTGAATATGCGAATTAATTAATGCAGACTATATTTGAGGTTTGCATATGATATTTGATATTGCAGATTATATTTGAAGTTGCAGAATATATTTGAAACACAAAATTACAGATTTTAAAATGACTTAAAATTACAAATTTTAAAATAATGATGTATGTATAACACAATTCAAAAATTATTCGACTATTATAAAATAAAATAATAAAAAATAATTATCAAGAATTTTTTTCCATGGAGTTATCTTTGGATAAACGAATTTAATAATTTTAAAAGTTTTCATTTAGGAAAAAATAAAATTTAAGGGTCCAAGCTCTTTTGACCAAACGAGTCGGGAACAAGTTTAAATTAACAAAAAAAAAATTGAAGTCTATTCAGAGAAAGCACAGTGCTTGATTACATTATTTAAAGCATCAGTGTAAACTAACTTATTAACAAGCCATTAAGATTAAATCCTAGTTTGTTAAACATCCCATGATTAAATCAAAAATTGTTCAAGGTGTAACATGTTTTTTCCCCTTTTCTTTCTTTTATTTTTCTGCAGTGTACATTTTTCTGTACCCCTTCAAAATTCCACTATCCAAAGTGTTGGTATTTCCCAGTTAGCGTCCACGAAATTCAAAAATTGGCGTAATCTTAAGGTGTATAAACTGTTTAATCATATATATACAGTGGGTAAAAAAAGTTTCCGTACGGTCACTAAATTTAAGAATAAATGAGCATAATTTGTAAAGTATTACATTTTTTCTTTAAATACTGTCTATATGTGTTTAGTATAAGTCTATAGAAAAAGATTTTTATAAATTTTCATCTTTACAAAACAAGAAAAGCATATTATTTGCAATATCTAAGGTAAATTGAAAATTGCAGTGCAAAAAAGTTTCCTTACGCGTTGCGCTAATTCTTTCTAACGTGTTTAAAACAGGCCTGCAGTAAATCTTTGACGTTAGAAAGTTAATCGTTAAAATTGATCGTCTCAAAATGGAAGTTCTTAGAGCTATTCGGAACTTAGTGATTAAATTGCGAAAAGATGGATTATCCATGAAAAGGATTAGTGAAATGACTAAAAAATCGAAGTCTACTGTGCAATATATCATTGAAAGATATCGTAAACTTCACTTGAGGATAGAGATCGTTCTTGGAGGCCGTCCAAATTAAATAGCGTGCATAAAAGAAACATCATATGCCAAGTTCAAGGAAATCCACGAATTAGTGCACCGCGGCTTGCAGCTGATTTAATGGTTAGTTACAACATTAAAGTCTCAACTCAAAACGTGAGAAATGTCATTAAAAAAAAGTGGTTATCCTGGGCGTGCGGCCCGGAAGAAACCCTATATAAATTTGTGCAACAGGAAAAAGCGCCTCGAGTTTTCAAAGAAGCATGTAAGCCAGCCATTATCTTTTTGGGAATCCATTCTTTTTACTGATGAATCAAAATTTAACATTCATGGGTCAGATGGCCGAGTTATGGTGTGGAGAAAACCAAACAAACAAATGCTAACTAAGAATTTATGCGGAACTGTAAAGAACGGTGGTGGCTGTGTTATGGTGTGGGGGTATATGAGTGCTTCTGGAGTAGGAAATTTGCAATTCATCGAGGGAACTATGGATCGATTTGGATATCTGGATTTTCTTAAATAAAATGTGTTATCCAGCGCTGAGAAACTATCTCTTGGAACTAGATTCACTTTTCAGCAAAACAGCGATCCTAAACACACCTCTAAGATTTGCCAAGAGTGGTGCCTTAAACAACAGCTTCATAGCCCTCCCCAGTCACCCGATTTAAATCCCATCGAACACTTGTGAGAAGAAATTGGCCGACTACTTTAGTAGGGCCATTAGTAGCATTTGGTGTAATATTTCTCCAGAAACAACAAAAAAACTTGTAGGGGTAATGCCAAAACGTCTAAGAGAGGTGATAAAGGCCACTGATCATTAAATGCATTTTTGTAAATGTATTTTGCATTTTGTAAACTTTTTTCGTGTGCTAGGACACCGTACGGAGACTTTTTTGTTCCATGTTTACTGCATTTTTCGAGTTTTTAAGATTTATTATTTAATTTTGTCAATATTATCATCCTTTTAATATGAATAAATATGAAATAATATTAGTTTTAACACATTTTTAAGTTTTCTTTTTATCATTATGAATTTTGTGTGACAAATTAAACTTTGATTTGCATTCGTATCTGCGTACGGGGACTTTTTTTTTACCCACTGTAGGTAATATATTAATAAAATTATGCATGAATAAGCTATTACATAAAATAAAAAGCTGAAATGATATGCTTCATTAGTAAAATAAGATTGATAGCTTGGAATCAATATCATATTCTAGTTCTTGGATCAATTAGAATTTAGCCCTTATTACCTTTTTCATCATACGCTTTTGAACAGTTAAAAAAAAATTCTCGTGGGATTTCAGATTCGCTCTTCTTTCTTTTGCTTTTCTATAGAGGAAGAAAATTAAGTTTCAAAATAGCTAGTTAGAAGATGAAAGATCAGATTTCTTTAAATAAATAATCCCAGGAAAAGGAAACGATTAGATATTACTTGATTATTAACTTCATTCGCTTCAAAATTAACAATAAGCTTGTTTCAAGTGCTCAAAAACAGGCGTCCATTGTCAAGACTTGCCAGATGTGAATGAGAAAAAACAAAAAGAGATTTGAAATAAAAAACGGAAAGTTGCTAACGAAAAAGAAACAAAACTAGAAAAACTACAGTAAACGAGAGAGAAAAAAGAGAAAAAACAGAACAAGAAAAACTACGGTAGCCGAGAAGGGCGAATCAGAGTAAAATGCATTTCCAGGAGCCATGGAGAGTCGGGAGGAACTTATGTGGTTAACGAGGGAATCGGCATTCAAATGAATAAAACAAGATTCCAGGGTATCAAGATATGATATGATTAGGGTGGAAGTTATTTTGGCACTGTCGAAATTAAATTTATGTTCAAGATTCCAACAATGTGCAGCAATTGATGATTTTACGAATTCTTGATAACGAACATAATTATCGTGTTGTCTAATTTTTTTAGGTAAACAGGCCTAAAACTGACTTTAAAACCCAATGGTAAACATGTTACTTTAACGGGGTTTTTCCCATTTTGGTTCCAAAGTTATTTTTAGGTCTGTTAGCAAAATGAAATTTAAGTCTCCTAAAGATCCTATTAGATTTAAGAATTGCTGAGCCATTTACCACATACCTTAAAAATTCGACCTTGAATACATCAGACAAACGAGACATGCTTTAAAATTTAGATTTAGTAACACAATAGATACGTCTGTTATCAAGATTTCGAAAAAACCATCAATTGTTGCACATTGTTGAAATATTGGGCATAAATTCAATTTCGACAATGGTAACATTACTTCCATCCCAGTCATATCAGCTCATCTTAATACCCTAGAAATCTTGAATTATTCACATGAATAATGCTTTTCTTGTTAACAACATTAGTTTTTGTCCACCTCTCCATAGCTCGTGGAAATGCATTTTACCTTAATTTGCCTCTCTCGGCCACTCAGGTTTTTCTTGTTCTATTTTTCTCTCTCGATCGGCTAATATGATTTTTCTAGTTTTGATTCTCCAACTTAGTTTTCTAGTTTTGGTTGGTAACTCTGGGTTTTATATTTCAAATCTCTTTTGTTTCTTCTCATTCACGTCTGGCAAAGTCTTGAAAATGGGTGACCGTTTATGAACGCTTAAAAGATGTTGGCTGTTATTTACAATTTGTATGCTTTTGAAACTAATGAAGTTTTTAACCAAGTAATAATAAATTTCTTTGCCTTTTTTTTTATTTCTTGTTTTTACTAAATAGTTTTTTTATCCATTCATTTTTCAAAAAATTATTTAAGGAGTGAGAATTATTTTAAATTAGTTAGAAACAAGATATTTTATAACTCTTAGTAGTTCTGGGAAAAAATTTATTCCGAACATTAAAATTCTCAAAAACCGTAATTTATAAAAATACATCTCAGTCCGAATAGCAAATTTTTGTAATTTTGAATGCCAAGTAGTATTAGAACATGGCGATGTGCTCCAAGCACCCAATCATTTAGATCATTATAAAAGCAAAAATTTCATTCTGCTAAACTTTACACGACAGAAGTTCAAAATAAAATTTTACTATCTATGAAAATCAACACCGCTGACTGAACACTCGGTTACTAAAAATTATTGATAAATCGAGATTAGATGGTGATATTTCTATACAATAATAATGAAGGGACATTTAAATATTTAAAAATAAAAATATTTTTTAGTCTTATGCTGAATTTTTAAACTTGCATGAAAAGTTTTTCCAAAACAAAATGCATCCAGAATCCAATTATATATAGAAAGAAACACATTAATCAAAGAAAATGCTTATCAAGAAATATCGCGTTTACATGATGATACTATTTTTTAGTATTGCAGGATTACGAAACAAAACATTTTAAAATACAACAAACATAATTTCTAGCCTTAAACTAAATACTTACCTTTAAACCTTCACAATTAAACAAAATAGAAAAACGCAATTGCAAAGATGATGATGATGACTGACTGACGGAGATTTTTGGAGCTCTTTGCAGTATTTCGCTTATAGCTCGCTTATTGTAGAAAGAGAGGAGATAGGATGAAGTTTACAGAAGATGATTACCGTTAAGGAATTGACTGTAGCGTGTGATTGTCTGAAGTATCAATCAGTGATGAGAAAGACTGATGGATAATTCAGACAATCACAGACTACAATCATTTCTGCGATTCCTTAAAGCAAAGAATAATTAATATTATTGAAAGTAAAAACAATAAATATTTTTCAGGTAAACTAAATTAAGCCTTACCTATTGAAACGCAGAGCTATAAGCGATAAGCAGAGAGCTCGCCGCACTTTATTTCATGCTTATGACAGCAAATATTTGTGGATTTCCTTCTTTTATTTGAGAATTATGTGATGGGATTAAGATATCTAATAAGAAAGAGTAGAGTACTTTCTGTCAATTTTTTACAACGTTTTTATCCAGAACTGTATTATATCTAACAGCTTAACTATAAAGATCTAGGGAACGCTACCAACCTAGCAATAATAAAAATAATTGTCTTTCATTTACTCGCTATAGTGTTCGTATCGATAATATTTTGCAATCAAAATTTGACCTGAAAAAAAAAACACTCAAATTTTAAACAAAAATTCCGTGCTCTATGACAGTGTGAGCTATAATTATTTTCTGATGGATATTATTTTCGGATTGCTGTATTAATCATCGTTTATCACCAAAACAAGTTTGTCATCTATCAAAATTCCGACCACTTTAAGGTCAGCTAGAGCGCTAAACTTTTAACTGAAACTCTGTAATGGAAGACATCATAAGTTTCAATAACTTACTAATCTCTAAAAAACAGAATTTAAAATCATATTGCCGCCAATTTGAATTTATCATCAATCAAAATTCTGTCCACTTTCTAATTAGTTAAAGCCCTTAACAACAATGCAAAGGCCGGGATAGCCTGATCGGTAGGGTGCTGGGCCCATGCCAGAGAGTTCAAACCCTGCCGGCCGAAGACTCACCGAGTAGTAAAATGGTGACTGATGCACGTTAAATCTGTCGAGTCGCAAAGTCCTCCATGCTCCCATAACANAGAGTACTTTCTGTCAATTTTTTACAACGTTTTTATCCAGTACTGTATTATATCTAACAGCCTAACTATAAAGATCTAGGGGGCGCTACCAACCTAGCAATAATAAAAATAATTGTTTTTCACTTACTCGCTATCGTGTAAAATTTTGCAATCAAAATTTGACCTGGAAAAAAAACACTCAAATTTTAACTAAAATTCCGTGCTCTATAGCAGTGTGAGCTATAATTATTTTCTGATTGATACAAGCTGTATTAATCATCATTTATCGCCAAAACAAGTTTGTCATCTATCAAAATTCCGACCACTTCAAGGTCAGCTAGAGAGCTAAATTTTTAACTGAAACTCAGTAGTTTACTAATCTCTAAAAAACAGAATTTAAAATCATATTGCCGCCAATTTTAATTTTATCATCAATCAAAATTCTGTCCACTTTCTAATTAGTTAAAGCCCTTAACAACAATGCAAAGGCCGGGATAGCCTGATCGGTAAGGTGCTGGGCCCATGCCAGAGAGTTCGAACCCTGCCGGCCGAAGACTCACCGAGTAGTAAAATGGTGACTGATGCACGTTAAATCTGTCGAGTCGCAAAGTCCTCCATGCTCCCATAACAAATCAATACCTCTGGGGATATTGGATAGGAGATCGATCGTTCTCTGGTCAAAAATTACGATCTGTGGATGAATGAATGGGTTCGTCTTATAAACGGGTATGACGTGTGAGTGGCTGAAGACGAATTCTTGGCCGTAGAACTGAAAAACAAGAAACGCACCCTCTGCCTTAAATGTGCTCGGTTTCACCAAGCAGGCTTGCTAGTGTGGCAAGTAGAATTAGAAACAACAACAATGCAAGTTTCAATCACTTCTTAACAGTTGCAAGCAAATATTACTGTATTATGTCAAATTGACGCCAATAGATATTTCGACTAGTTAACGTGATTAAACTTGTTTCATGACAGCTGTACACTGAGTTTCAATAGAATCCTGGCCGTTACTAAAAGAATCGACCGCCATAATATCGCCAAATGGAATTTCTTGAGAACAAAATATCCGATCTTTTTCCGATCAACCAACTACAGGGTTCAAATTGTTGCTGTTCATCAGTTCTAAACTACAATGCAAGTTTTAATCGTTTCCTGACCACCGCTAGCAGAATTTACCGTTATTTCACTAAATAGAAATTTCGACAACTTAAGGCAATCAAATATTATCTACAAATCTGTATATGATGACAATGGTAGAATCAACGAGCGCTACAGATGGAATCTATTGCTACATTATCGCCAATCGAAATTCAAATCACTTTTAGACTTGTTAGTGTTCAATCTAAATCAAAGCTTTCTGTTCTGTGCTAAATTTTTCCAAAAATTTCGAGGATGAGTTTTGTGAGTTCTGGCGCTGGAAGAAAGTATAACAGGGTGTATAGCCAAATCCTTCAACAAAAAATAAGCTCATTTTAAGTATTTTTTAAACACTCAAAAATACTTTTAAGCACTATATACATTAACAAAATGCAAAATAATTTTCCAAGAATTTACACGATCATGATAAAATAACTAGTTTCTGACAAAGAACTTTTTTCTTGATTATATTAGCCACCATAAAAAGATCGAGAGATTTTTTTGGTTTGATTTCAGAAGAGATTTTTTTTGGTCTGATTTCAGAAGAGAGGGGGAAATGAAGCCAGAAATTGAGAATATCGTGCAAAATGCAGTAGAGTTGCACACGAGAGTGCAAGAATCTCACCAAATCTAACTCAGTAGACGTACATGCGGACTCTCAAGTATTTTGTCAAACATGTAAAATGATTGGCGCTTTCATACTCTACGACCAACGGTACGCCAAAATGCATTATGTTGGAATGAATTGTGAAAAACTGAATAGAACAATGTGAAAACCACGTTTTTGCATAATACGTGGCAAAAATCGAAATGGTAAAAAAAAAACTAAATTTCGAAAAGGGGAAATTAAGCACTTTTTAAAAACGCCCAATAAAAAAAAGTACCTTTAAGGGCTTTAAAAAACGAAATCGGGAATAAGCACCTTTAAGCATTTTTTAAAACCGCTACGCACCATGTATAAGATTGTCCTCTCAAGGTGAACCGAGTTTGAACAGAGCAGTTAGAGTGGTCTGGAGCTTTAAAAGGCGTTTTGACGTTAACTGGGTTATGGGAAGAATGTCTGCATATGTGATATCTATTGATCTTGTCTGGATTCGTGTTCGAAGTCATGCTATTAATCCTAGGACAGTAAAGATCTGGAATGGAAGCTTTTTTTGTAAGATTCCTTGCAAAATTTGCACTAAACAACTGCATTTGCGTCTGTAGAGGTGACAATGGGGCAAGAATCTACTAGAGGGTGCACGATTGTTTTTTAATTTGCTTCAGTAGGTTGTTGATGTTTTACGTAAAATTTGTTACACCGTTACATAATTCTTCTAGTCGAATCTGGAAAAAAATATCAGATGCGTTTTCAGTGCTGTTTGACATCAGGCAATCATCTTCTAAGAATAGTGCTTATGTCTGATGACATTACAAATTGTCACCTAAACGTTACCGGCAAACTTAAATACCACTCTATCGTCAATCAAATTTTTGACTTCTTCCCCAATAAGCTCGAAATTTAACTAGAACTATGTGACTGGTGTTATTATAAGTGACAATTGTTTCCTAAATGGTTCGCCATTGTATCACCAATCGAAATTTCGAAGAATTTCCATAATTCAACCCAACAACTTCTTGTCAGGCCAAAAACAATAAATGTAGGGCGCATCGATTAGTTAGGGAATTATTGAGTCAACGAATCTAAACACTGAATCAACAAGGAAACTAACTACTGTTTCGTTAATTTTCTGTTTTAGCAATTCACTTATACACTGACTCATTAATTGGTTGATTTACTCTTTCATATATTCACTTATTAACTTGCCGATATATTTACTTCCAGTTTCTCGAATTTTTAGTTCATTGATTTGCTCTGACTTGTTGAGCAAATCTGAGCTTGTCTACCAAGTTTTGACAGATATCAGCTATTTGAAGTAATACAGATAATTTGGTGAAGAAAACTTTAAATTTGCGTTACTATAAGGCAAGACAATTTAAAGGAACTAGGAAAATGCAATTTATAGGTTATTATTTCCATTTCATACTATATTCGAATAGTTTAGAAATACTAGGAAAGATGAAAATATCACAAAACTAGCATTGGCAGAAAAGAATGCGGATTGTTATTGATATACAATCGAATTTCAGAAAACAGATACTTCTGTTAACTCTGCGTGAATACAGAACTTAAGATACCTCCGATGAAGACCTTACTGAATATCTCCACTTTGTAGATTCATGTTTAATGTCAATACAACGATCATATTAAAACTCAATCGTATTTCACTAACGAAAGTATTTTTCCAGCTGGATTTATTAAATCTATAGCAATGTTATCTAGAGTGCCTTAATTGAAAGAGTTTCAGGCAATAAGTTTAAGCGCACCTAATTTTTAAAATTACGATCTGTGTCAACCGTCGACTAGTAAAATCAATCTTAACACGTTATCTTTGTCGACAACTGCCTGGTGTTTCTAAATTCACTAAAACTTAACTTAATATCCCAAGTTTGAACTGTTAAATTTTACGACTTTTACTAACATAATTAAGATAAAAAGATGTTGATTCAAAAAGCCAAATATTGAAGGGAGAACAACCAGACCAGAAATAACCGCTCGCCACTTTAACAAAAAAGTAGTGACTAAAATTAAACAAGCAACCGGTCGGATGTCTATTTTTTCTCATCGTATTCATTTCAAACACACTCTCATTTTTTAAAAATTGTTTAATGATAGAAGTAAATCAATGCAGAAAAACCCTAAAAATCATCAGAATTAAAATGTTCCATTGCCTCTATTTAAAATTTTTCTTCAGAAATCATCAACTTGTGATGATTGATGTGTAGGGAGAAATCTTTAACAATTCGCATATTTCAAAGTTATGATGTATACACATAAAAATATTTTGCCTCCCCAAAATATTTTTAAATGAAGTTCTTAAAAGTCAATATGTTTAACTAAATTTTGTCTCATATTTATACTTTTAAATTAACCTTATATAGCCGTAGATGACTAGAAGGAAATTTTTAAAAATATAAATTAATCCAAGTAAAAAAAAAAATTCGCAAAAAGTGGCTATCAAATAGGACCTATCGATATCGGTCACTGACTCATTAGGTTTAAGGAAAAAGTGGCATCCAAGTTATTAGTCTACCAGCCACCAACTGAAAATTAAAATTTTCATATTAAAGAACAACACAGTAAAATTTTCAAAAAAATGATATGAATTCTACATTTTTCGATAATTTATCTTTATAAGATTATTGCACTAAAATATTGAATTGATTTTTTGTAAAAATGTAAAAGTTACAGCATGGTATATCGAGCAAGCAGGGCGCGCTGTAACATGGATTTGCTCACTCGAATTTAAAAATTACTTTTATATACTATTAATTTTAGTAAAATACTATCATTTTAACTTTTCTGTTGAAATAATATGTTTAAATTATGAAAGAAAAAGAATTAATGAATGGTACTTTCAGTATAAATAGTTGAAATTGCAACTTAGCTGTAATAACTTTCGATGAAGGTTTCAAAGGGTTATAGGCAGTTACAGAACAATTAGAAATATATGTTGGACAAACAGAGCAAGAATATGTTTAAAATGAAGATTACCGATGAATTTTGACAGCTTCTCTAGAAACATTTTTGTGTCAGATGAAGATAGACCGACAAGAAAACAGGCTGCACTAGCACTTGTTGAAACTGCTGAAAAAATGAAGCATCTTATGGCCCTCATACTGATGCATTATAGTTAGTTGCAAATTTTGCATGGATAATTGATCACGTAACCTTAAACGAAGTTTACTTAAAACAATATTTCTCTTACTTGCGTCTCTCTAACTAGTACAATTATCAACTTCAAATTCTGACAAAATATTTACAATGTTGTTTTCGTAGCATTCAGGGAATTTTTAATTAGATTGACTGGTTTTGAGTAGTCGAGAAAATGTAACTTAGATTGCGTAATTTGATTTTTTTTTTAAACACAATTAATTTTCTTTAAATTTTTGTATTTGTAACGTGATAAAATGAAGATTAAAATATGTACAAGATAAAAAAAAGTATTAAGTTTATCACAATCCTTGCCTAATTCATTAAAAAATTCTTTTTTACACGCTTCTATTATGTTGCTTTCACTTTATTCTTTAAATCAATTATGTTAAAATCTGCATTAATATTCGTAAAAAATGAAATGTTCTGATCACAATAAGGAAAAAATTAGTATTCAATTTTTTTCATCAGGATAACAACGAACCCAGTTGAATATATTTTTCTTGTTCTTATCGTAAACATACTGAGACAAAATAATTACACAGAATTGCTGCAATAATCTTATTTTAATGTATCATTGCTATTATTCAACTAGAATAATTTAATTTCAAGCCTGTTATTCAATTCGAATAATTTTTACGCACTTGATGAAAATCGAAGTTAAATTGTAATTTTAAACATATCAGAAATTTTTCAGACGTGACAAAAAAAGTTAATTAGTAACGCATTACAGCAACTGAAACAGGCCTCTGCCTCAAAACATACAACAACCATTTGTTTTTCTTGTGTATTGCACTATTCAAGTGAAATTCATATTCTTCAGAGCTATGATTAAAAATGTCACATAATTCACAGTTGTATTGCTGTGGATGTGAATTGCCGTATGTTTCTAATTCCTTTGTCTCGAAGCCCACCTTCTTGTTTATCAACCTTCTCATTCTTTTATGTCGCTCCCCTATCAAGTGCTGGTCATAATGCATGGAGCTGTAGCATAGAAAATCACATAACTCACAGTAGTGTTCTTCACACAAATCATCATCCCTGTCTTCAACACTAAGTCGGAGGCTAACTATTTTACCGTCTTCCAACCGAGAAGGGGAATTTTTAGCAGCTTCACTAGTTTCAACACTTAGCGTAGTTGGACAAATTTCAAGTGCATGTTTTTGAAAATGATTTTCAGTTTCACTGACTTCAATATCAAGAGTGGAAGGGACTTTACAAATAGTTTCTAGAGCTTGGTCACGGAGATTATCCTCCGGTCGAAGAGGAGGATTTTCATCAGTTTCAGCACAAAGCTGTAGGGAGGAACTTCTCGTAGCATCACAAGCGTTAATTGCATGTTTTTGGAAATGATATTCAGACTTCATATTTGGAAATGATACACTGACTTCAATATCAAGAGTGGAAGGGACTTTACAAATAGTTTCTAGAATTTTGTCAAGGAGATTATCCTCCGATCGAAGAGGAGGATTTTCATCAGTTTCACTAGTTTCAGCACAAAGCTGTAGGGAAGAACTTCTCGTAGCACCACAAGCGTTAATTGCATGTTTTTGGTAATGATATTCAGTTTTACTGACTTCACTATCAAGAGTGGAAGGGACTTTACAAATAGTTTCTAGAGCTTGGCCACGAAGATTATCCTCCGATCGAAGAGGATTTTCATCAGTTTCAGCACCAAGCTGTAGGGAAGAACTTTTCTTAGCACCACAAGCTTTAAGTGCATGTTTTTGGAAATGATATTCAGTTTCACTGACTTCAATGTCAAGAGTGGAAGGGACTTTACAAATAGTTTCTAGAGCTTGGCCACGAGGATTATCCTCCGATCGAAGAGGAGGATTTTCATCAGTTTCACTAGTTTCAGCACCAAACTCTAGGGAAGAACTTCTCGTAGCACCACAAGCTTTAAGTGGATGTTTATGAAAATTATCAACCCTCAAATTATCACTGACTTCAATATCAAGAGCGTAAGGGACTTTACAAATAGTTTCTAGAGCTTGGCCACGAAGATTATTTTCCGATCGAGGAGGATTTTCATCAGTTTCACTACCAAGCTGAAGGGAAGAACTCGTAGCAACACAAGCTTTTAATGAATGTTTTTGAAAATGACTTTCAGTTTCACAGACTACAGAATCAAGAGAGGAAGAGTTTTTATAAATAGTTTCACGAGCTTGGCCACGAAAATTATCCTCCCCCTTCTCCATCTCGTTCATTATCTCTTTACGTTTTGCACACTCCGAAGAGTAATGGTCCTTCGAATGTGATTGAGAATTTTTTAACTTCTTAGAAGCTTTTTCACCACAACAATCACTGACGTCATTCTTATTTTTCCGAGAGTGTTGCTTGATCGTTACTAGTTCTTTACCCACAGAGTGCTGACCATGCTTTCCAGTTACAGATTTTGAATAATGGTCAGTAACAACACGATCCATCGTACTATCACCCGTTTTCTTCTTTTTGGATTGTTTCAAAAGTGACCTAGCGTTCTCATGCTTAATACTTTTCCTATGCTGAATGTAATTAAAATGTGTATCAATCCACATACAGCACACTTCACAATAATATAACGGTCTGAGTGAACGATTAAACGTTTTTGTGGCATTCATATCGGATCCAGCTCCAATAACATCGATTCGTTTTGCTATACGGGATATTTTCATCATAAACTGCTCCACTCTAATATGACTTTGATCTGCTAAGTGCTCATTGAGATATTCCTGTTTAAGGAAATGAAGATTACACAGTTCACAAACGAATCGTGAAGAACAGATATAAAAGGATCTTGTGTCATCAAGAGGAGTATTACGCTTTGCATTGATCATTTTGCATATGAATGATCTAGTACTGTAACTATCCCGCCAATTAGAATTATATATCTTTTTACTTGTGATCATGGTTCTCAAAAGCCATGCCATATATCTATGGGTATCAGTTTTCAAATGGTTATTATTTGGAGTACCATCCCGAGAACCACATAACAGACATAAATTATGCGGGGGAAAGGAAGCGCTCATAAAATCAGATCTATCTATTGTATCAAAACGAACACCTGTGGCCAGAGCCGTGATGGAATGTTCTTTACTTGCAATGTGTTCTACAACCTCAAACACACTGGGAAGGGACAATGCACATGGGGTGCAAAAGAATTGAATATGCATCTCACTAGCCCCGTGTCGTATTACGTCTTTTAATCTCCTAAACTTCATAGCACATATTTCGCAGTTCATTTTTTCAAATTGAGTTCTGAAATGAAAGATATTAAGTTGTAATCATCAAAATCGAATAAGAACAAGTGTGCAGATAGAAAAAAGTTTTAATATACATTACGTAAACAAAAAAAAGGGCCACCCTTGAATAACTTTTGATCTAATTATCGGATTTTCACGTTTTGGGACTCAATCTAAATATTTCAAAGGGTCTCAAATACGTTAATTAATTAGCGCAGACAATATTTCGAGTTACGAAATCAGATAAAAAACCTACTTTCTCTGAATATTTCCTTACATAAATTGAATTTCTCCTTTTTTCGCATATTCGGAATTTTGGAACCCTAAAATATGGTCCCTATAGCTTTTGGTCAGTAAAGCGGCCTAAAGTTTGGATCCCTTAATGTTAATTTTATTTCTGCACATTTCGCCATATCTTGAAAACTTTTTAAACAAATTGAAAAATTAGTGCACAGAATTATAAAATTCGCCTATCCAAACTTAATTCCATGAAAAATATTACTTTTAATAAAAATTTATTATTTTATTTAACAAACATTCTAAAACGTTTTGAATTGTAAGGTATAAAAATTTTTACACCATTTTAATATATGTATAGGCACGATATGTAAATTTTACATTGCAAAATTTGAGGGAAATAGGTGGAATAGTTAACGAGAAATCGAATTTTAAGCCCGATTTTGCTCAAATTAGTTTGCATAGACTACTTAAGATTGCATTCCTTAAAATGACGGGGGCGGGGGGGATTTATACCTTTCAATTCAAAAGTTTTTTGACTGTTAATACACAAAATAATAAATATTTATTAGAAGTTATTTTAATTGTGACAAACAAATTATAATGACGATAACTGCGTCCAAAAGCTTTTCAATTTGCTTAAAACTACGCAAATCGTTTTCGAGATATGACGAAATACTCAAAAAGTAAAATTTACATTAAGGAGTTCAAACTGTGAACCGCTCACCTGACAAAACTATTGCGGTTACCCCCCTATTTTTTGATGGCCAAAAATCCAAATCGGTTAAAAAAAAAAAAGAGGTATTTTTATTCAGAGAAAATAAGTTTTTGTGTCTGATTTCGTATCTTAAAATATCGTCTACCCTAATTAATTACCATATTTGAGATCACCCCCTCAAACCTTCAAGATTGAGTCCTTCCTAGAAAGAGAAGATCCGATCATTAGATCAAACGCTATTCAAAGTGGTCCGTTTTCTATTTTAACTGTTTGGCATGATATTGTGCTTTGGGACGCGTAACGCGGAAAAGTTGAAAATAGGCAGTCAATAAATAATCAGTCCATCATTTTAAATAACACGATCAGTCTGAGTACAAAAATTAACCCAAAAATAGCATTAAAACAATATACGCACTATAGCTCATGAGACACTCCAAAAAATGTAGAGGAGACTCGAAAAAAATTTACGACGAGTAGTTTTGTAATGTGCAATTTTCATCTCAAATCGCTAAAAAAATATTTCTGCAACTGAACAGTAAAATTGTCCATTAAAAATAAATGGTAATTAAAACTTATTGAAAATCTATTATTCAACTACAATTCTTTTATATAAGCATAATCATTTCCTATTATTTGTTGTCTTTCTTTAGACAACCCAAAGTTAATATTTCATTTTTAAACATACAATGCACATATCATTCAGTTTTCAATGATACTTTTTCTACCTTAGGCGAATATTATTTTAAATGATTTAATCAGCATGAATAGTACAAAAAAATATGTTATTATCTTTGAAAAAGATTACTCGATTTCGGTCTCTAATTGCAACTGATTGGCAATTATTAAAACAAACAGTAATTATTAAAACAAACTGATTATATTTGTTTTAATAATTACTGAATCTATTAATAATCTCATTTTATGTACGATAACCTTAAATGGGGGATTTATACTATTTAAAATAGGGGACTTGCTTATAGTAACAAAGGACCCGTAGGTTCCTCAGTCTAACGGAATCACTGTCACATGTGTTAGATATATCAAAGTTTCCTTACATTTTAATAATTATTTATCTAGATATCGTTTATCCAGATATCGAAGCTTCAGTTAGTTATAAGAACTAGAAGGAAAACGATAACGGGATATTATTGAACGATTTACTTAAGGATAAAAAATTATCAAATATATTATGCTATCCTGTTAATACAAGCAAATTCTTTTTTCCAACCAACAATTCATTTTCCTATTTCATATCATCCGAAATACCATTAGATAAAAAGCTGCTTTACACATTTTTTAAGACCTTTACAATCCATCACGAATTTACGAAGTTTGCATACTGAAAAAGGAAGTTACTTATATAGACACCAAAATTCTAACTTACATTATGTCGTACAAAACTAAAATATAGATAAGACATTTTCAGAGCTTACACTTCAAAAATCGTAAGATAAAGCGCATGCCATATTTCATCTTTATATTCAATTTAAATACGAATTTTCAATGCCAAATTGTATGGTGCCTAATCAAACGATGTTAAAAACCGTAAGTTAAAAGTTACGTTTTGAATAAATAGCTCTTCTCAAAAAAGAAATTAACAAGCTAGCATTTAACGAATAATGAATCTAAATATTATAGACACTGAAATTCTTAACTTACATCATATATATATCGTATGAAACTAAAATATAGATAAGACATTTGCAGAGCTTACACTTCAAAAATCGTAAGATAAAGCGCACGCCATATTTCGTCTTTATATTCAATTTAAAGATGAATTTTCAACGCCAAATTGTATGGTGCCTAATCAAACGACGTTAAAAACCATAAGTTAAAAGCTACGTTTTGAATAAATAGTTCTTCCCACAAAGAAATTAACAAGCTAGCATTTAACGAAATTGAGGACATATCTGTTCAAAAAAATCCATTTCTTAACCATGGCGGAAATCAAAAACATCTAAATTGCCCACCAACGAAAAATTTCAGAAAATAATGAAAAATAAATGCAATTCAACTTACCTAAAACACAATATGCTCGTTTACTTTTTAAAAAAAATAACAAAAACATGTCTTGGATATAAAAAAAAATTACACAAAATTATATTAATAATTTTATTAGTTTTATTGATTACAACTTGAATTACAAGCATGAATTTATTCTCATGCATTCATTAAATTACAACCCAATTGTTTTAAGAAAAACTTAAAAATCGTTATAGATTCGAACTTTTCTATTAAAAAAAAAAAACAATGGCAGTCAATATGAGCCCCATACATGTGCGGAAAGAGTTTTGCCCAATGCTCAGTTTTCAAAGTAAACGCAACTGAAAAAATATTAACCTACATAAATATATTCATTTAAGAAATAGGGCGATAACTTGAGAAAAAATTAACCGTAACTGTTTTAAGTAAACAAAATTATAATCTAAAAATAAATATTTAAAAAAAATTACAGATCAACATTTTCACATAAACAATACTGTAGAATGGCAGTTAACTTATAGTAGTTGAAACAGACTACGAAAGAAAACCTATGACCTTGAAGCATAAATTGGCCACTCAAAAGTAAATAGGCGGCTTCCTTTCTTTCAACTAATAATCAATCGATAATGCTACAGATTTAGCATAAAAATATTTAGAGCTGTTATGTCAGTGAAAGTCACAAACGCATTCAATATAACGTTAAAATTAAATTGCAAAATGCAGGAGGTATTAACTTAAGATTTCAAAAAATCTTTTTGATTTTATCATTTAGAATTTTTTGTAATGAAAATATTTTTGATTAAAGAAAATATAAAACAATTTTAGTTCAGAGATTTATTTAAAACTATAAGTAATTTGCTTACACTAAAAAAATTATAAAAAATTTAATTTACCAACAGAGAAAGTTGAATATCCGTAATAATTTAATTTGATTCAGAAGATTAAATCTACATAACTTCCAAATGATCTTAAAATTAAAAATAACACACAAATACTTTTGATTTTAAATTTTTTGAGAATAGATATCGTTTTATTTTACTTTAAAATAATTAAATTATTAAAAATTCCTATAAAATCTGAATCTATTTTGACCTTCAAAACAAACTATTTTTTTCTGCCACTTTTATCCGTAAAAGTTCTGTACCCTTTATAAGCAAAATTTCAACTTATAAACTGAAGCTAGAAGGGGCCTATAGTTAAAGAAAATATTATCCTTTTTAATATCAATTCAATTTTTATTCAATAACATACCAAAATGTAATATAAAACATAAATCTCCGTAACATAATAGGTTAAATGAAATTAACTATTTCAATGCTATCCTACCAACCATTTTCTACATTTTAAAATTATGTAAGTAAGCTATTTTATGTGCACTAATTACGGTAACATAAATTTTAACATTCGTTAAATAAATAATCAACAGATAAATATTTTCTAGCGAGATAAATTAGCTGAAAATGTTAAAATATTGATCATTTTTAAGCACTCAACAGAGGTAATTTATTTTAAATAATAATAATTAACTAAAAAGAAAAAAAAAATTACATTAAATACTCATCAGCAAAAATATTAATAACTTTAGAAGTTAAAAAATATTTTAACAAAATTACTTTTAAACAAAGCAGATTTTCAAATAAAAAAACAATACAGCAGTTCAAATATGTTAGCAACTCAAATATCAGGTTTTCTTTCATAAGCACAAAGTACTATTATTAACCCTTTCCCTATCATGATCTCCATTTGGAGATAAAACTTCATTGCTAAAATTTAGAAGGATGATTACTCCAGGTTTTCTACCTTTATCTTCAGAGCTCTCCCACACAAAAATAAAAAAGAGCGGCAAAAATTCCTTCGCTAAAGCGTCAATCAATCGTGTTCCTATTGTTATCAGAGCATTTGGTAATCACTATATTGAAAGAACATAATATGGTAAACAAAGAAAATCTGCTAAATGCAAAACAAATGCAAGAAAACAATGCGACTCTTGCTATGTTGAATTGAACATAGAATATTTTGAACGTCGCCATTGCAACTAGATAGCATCAGCCATAATTACCATTTGAGATCGGACATAA